TACGCTGTGCTGGACTTCTCTTGGGGCATTTTTCTGGGCCCAGTGGGAAGGGGCTAGTATACCCTAGGTCTAGAGAGGGTCATGTGAGTTCCCAGGCTGGGATGGCCAACAGAGCTTGGGGCAGAGTGCTCCGGGGGCCGTACCATAAGTGGGGAGAGGGTAAAGTTGGGGTCAGAGTAATTTTTGGCCTTGGCCCAAAGCTTCTTGGGAAAACAGGATATTTAACAGACTTCCTCAACACCTACCACCTCTTCCCTCCTTAGTCCCAAAGTCCTGGCCATTGGTTTTATGCTTGCTTTATTCCATGAAGGATTTATTGTCCCTTTCTATGCACCTCCCTTATCTCCCCACTTCAACTCTCTTCTCCTCCAGTTCCTTAATGTAACCTCAAAGATCCATCTGGAAGGTAAATCTGATGAGGCCATGCTCCTGCTGTAGTTCCCTGGGGACTTAGGGTAAACTATATGCTCCCTTCCAAGCTTATAAGCCTAGTGCTCCAGCTCTGGGCCCTGATTCCTCTCTTCACCTTTCTGTGTGGGCCATGTTTACACTTTGCTGCTGAACCAAACAAGGTAATTCCTACCTGTAGGTCTTTGCTCCTGCTGTTCTTTTAGCTGACAGATTCCCCTTCCTCTCCCTGACCCAGTCTCTCCACTTTTCCCCACTGATCCTAACAAATGCTCTTCCAGGAAGCCTTCCATGACTCCCAGTCCAGCCCAAGTTAGGTCATCTCCCCTGTGACCTACAACTCCCTGGTTGACTCTTTCTGAAAGCAAAATGAAAGAAAAAGAAACAGAAACAGAAACAGACTTTAATGGATCAGCAATGATCTTGAAAATGTTGCACATTTTCAAGAGAGAAAATGGCAACTGGTTACAATAGGGGTCTGAGTTTTATAGGGCCCAGTGAGACCTAATCATAGCAGAACGTGTTAGTTGGGCAGTCAGGAAAGCAGTTGTAGAAGGAGAAATTGTGAAAGTCCGGAGCCCATTGTTTTTCTTCTTTCCCTGGGACCCATTGTTCTTCTTTTCTCCCTGGGGGTTGTTGTTTTCCATATCCTTCACTTTCTCTCACCACCTGCCCCCAGCCCCAGGATATCTCAGTAGTCAGATAATATGGATTAAAAAACTGATCTCTGCTCAGTGCCACCTTCTTAGGGTCCAGATCCTGCTCCTCATCCCTGCCATCTGGGAAGCACTGCCCCTGTTCTCTGTTCATCTGCCTGTCTGCCTGTGTGTCCACCACCTCCTCCTTCCTTTCCTCTACCTCCTGACTTTCTTGACCAATCGTTCCCTTGTTCCTTTCATCTGTCTCTGTCCCTGTCCCCATTCTTTCATGCATTTGCACTTCATTCCATGAAGTACTTGAGGTGGTGTCACTATCTCTACGCCCCTTCATTGTTCAGTCTCGATCTCCCAATTTTCTCACAAGCACTTTCTCTTCTCTACACCATTAATGATCTTGGCACATGGAAAGGAGAGTTTTTATTCCAGAGAAGTGATCCTCTCTCCCCCAACATAGCTCAGTTTCCAGAGTGCATTGCAGGCCCCTATCAGCCCGTCCCCCAGAGAGAAGCCAGACCAGAGAGGGGTGGAGGATGAGAGAAAATGCACAGAAAAGGGGCCTGCATCTAGGACTTGTCAGGGGCCTCAGCACCTCCAACCCAGTCCCTCATGGCACTGATGGGGGAAACAATGTGCAGCAGGATCTCTTTGGCCAACCCCATTTGTGGTCTTGCCTACTAAACCCTCCCCTAGTAGGGTTTAGTAGGCAAGACCTCCTGAGCATAGAGCCACCTTGTTTCCCACTCTGGGGATCTTGCATGCTCAGCTTCATCTGGAAAGGGGTTATCTGGGAAAAGAGGAAGACTTAAAGTGACAGCCCCTGGCTCCCACTGCTTTCTCTACCAGTCCCTCGTTTCTTCTTGCTGCGTCCCCAACCCCTGGGCTTTTGTGTGTGTGGTGGTGGTGGTAGGATCCTGGACAAGTCCATAGACCTTGCAGCCTGTAGGCTCCTGGAGAGTAGGACTGATCCCTCTTGGGTCTCCCAAAGCCTATGGATGAGGCAGGGTATGCAGGGAAACGTCCCAGGGGAGGAAGCCCATGCATTCATTTACTTGTCTGTAATGAGGGCCTCTGGCTCTGTGCTGCCCACTCACCCTCCTACCCACCTCCCTGCACTGGAGGCATGAACCAGCACCAGCCAAGAGTTTCTAAAGCCTGGCCCTGT